ACAAGTGCGCCGAAATTTCATATCGTCGGGTAACAGAGATTTGATTTAATCATATTAATAAAATTTGTTATTTTATAATACTATTTTTATTTTTAAAAACATTGTATGTGTGACAAGTTGTCCATGTACAATTTTTAACTCCATCTCGTTCATTGAAGTTATACCCAATCGAAAAATGATGTTTTTCAAGTAATTGTAGTAAAACTTGACCTATTAGAATTCCTAAAGATCCAATGTACAAAGTAAATATGCCCAATACAAGTAAAGGAAATAATATAGTATTGTCAGATTCATAAGGATAGGAAGCTTTTCCGGTGAGGGATAGCAATTTTTGAACAAAAAAATTTGATTTTTTTGCTGATGATTTGAGGTTCACATGCAATGAATTATGTTTTTTTGAAGGACAATTTCTGACAAATATTATATGAGTCATCCCATCAATTAATTTATGACCTATTATCTAACAATAATGCTACTCGGCCAGGGCAGGAGACAGGGTAGAAAATGGGATTTTAAAATTGCTGATGTGACATAAAGAAATGAAAGGAAAATACCATAAAATAAAAACAAATGTCAGGCCTCAGGGCTGTAGCTTGAAAACGAAAGTGATGTAGCCTTTTTCGTTTTTCACTTATGCCGTGTTTGGCTAAACCTAAACGAGTTATTTATTTTTATTTTTAGCTCTTTAGCTCCAAATATATTTCCGATTTTGTTTAGCTAAAAATAATATTTTTAGTAAATTTTAATAAAAATTGATAAAACTTGTAGTTAAAAAATTGATAAATTTTTTGGATCCAATGAAATGTGAGTTTTAGAAAATTAGGACTAAACATGGACATATTTATTAATTAATAATTAATCTCACAGTTTCTTAAAAGTAATTTAACCTAATAGGGAAGTTTTAAAAGTAGCCAAACATGCTCTTAATAAGGAATTCTATTGTCGACTTGTTTAAAGAATTTGAGCTTCATCCATAAATTCTCCGTCAATGAGAAAAAAAGGCTTTTTCTAATTTTTAATAATCATGAAAAACTTTTTTTAATAATCATCCATAAATTCTAGTGTTAATTAATTTTTAGTAATCACGAAAAACTTCTAAATTCTTTGTCGAAATGAAGATTTAGCTCATATTTGACATAAATAAAATTAGAAAAACTTTTCAGCATCTTAATTGGGACTATAATTTCATGATTATTAAAAATTAGAAAAAAACATTTTTCTAATTTTTGATTAAGTCAAAACATGGGCTAAATCTTCATTTCGACGGAGAATTTAGAAGTTTTTCGTGATTATTAAAAAATTATGAACACTAGAATTTATGGATGATTATTAAAAAAGTTTTTCATGATTATTAAAAATTAGAAAAAAGCTTTTTTTTTCATCGACAAGAATTTATGGATGAAGCTCAAATTCTTTAAACAAGTTGACACTAGAATTCCTTATTAAGAGCATGTTTGGCTACTTTTAAAACTTCTCTATTAGGTAAAATTACTTTTAAGAAATTGTGAGATGAATTATTAATTAATGAATATGTCAATGTTTGGTCCTAATTTTCTAAAACTCATTTTCGAACCCACATTTCATTGGATCCAAAAGTTTTATCAATTTTTATTAAAATTTACTAAAAATATTATTTTTAGCTAAACAAAATCAGAATTATATTTGGAGCTAAAGAGTTAAAAATAAATAACGTGCTTAGGTTTAGCCAAACACGACATAAGTGAAAAACGAAAAAGGCTGCAGCACTTTCGTTTTCAAGTTGCAGCCCTGGGCCTGACATTTGTTATTTTTTATGGTATTTTCCTTTCATTTCTTTATGCCACATCAGCAATTTTAAAATCCTGTTTTCTACCCTGTCTCCTGCTTTGGCTGAGTAGCATTATTGATTATCTAATTAGAAATTTACCCAAAGGTAAATCGGGTAATTTTTTTTTATTTTTTATTTTTTGGGACCAATGTGTAATGATATGAATAGGCAACTATTTAAAATCAACCTCAAGCTGCATTTAAAAATTTAGTATTGCATATAACATGTGTCGTTAAGGATAAGTTGGAGCCCTTTAATTTTATTTAGTACTTGAGCATTCTACCTAACGATCAATTATTGTGAAAACACAAAGTAATTATCAATTGTACTTATTTGAGATATATATATAGGCCCTGTTTGGCACCCATTTTTATCAAAATGCATTTTTCTCTCTCTTCTTTTCAACCACACATTCTTTATTAAAATAATATTACACGTAAATCAAAAACTTTTTCTTATTTTTCAACCACACATTTCCCATCAACTTACTATTCAAAAATGTATTTTCACATAAAAATTCCTACCAAACACCCTCATATATATATATATATAACCCTATATTCAATAGGATCCACAACTTTATCAACTTTCAATAATATATTTTATCAACTTTTATCTAAATTTATTGAAATTTAATTTTTATCCAAACCAAACGAGGGCATAAATTTTAGACCTCAAATGGAAACGGGTAATAACAAAAGATGGCAATAACATGGAAAAAAAAGGTTTTTCTTTATTATTTTTCTCGAATATACACAAATAAACAAAAACATAATATTTCAGAATAAATATGTTAAAAGATTAAGCCTTTTGTTTGTGTTAATCCTTTTGTTTGTGTGCTTTATTTTTTATTATTATTATTTTATTTTTTTTTGTGAAAAATTAGTTTTGTGATAGTGATTTTTAGAGAAAGTATGTTTATAAAGTAAGAAAAAGTTTTTAATTTACATGTAAAATTATTTTATTAAAAAATATATGATTAAATATGAATTTTAAAAAAAATTAAAAAATGGAGCTCAAGATAATTAAGCACAAATTTTTTGACTCCATTGTATAAAAAGCTAAAGAGAAAATTACATTGAGACGTACTTTTAAATATTACGTTTCAAAAATGAAGATTGTGATTTATACATACAAAAACAATATCATAATACAAATTTTTAATATTAAACTATAATATTATAAAATTCTATTAATTACCCACACCCCAAACCTTAATATTCATTACCACATTCTCAATTAATTTTTCATTCTCTATACTCTACCTCTCTTTCTTACTACCTCACAATCATCGTCTGCGAAGACGTTAGAGAAATGGGAGCGGCGATTCAGCCGCCTGCGAGACACTAGAGAAAAGGGAACGAAGATGTGATTTTGCGCGAGCCCACGAGTAGTCGTCGGTGAGGCTTTTGTCTATTTTCTTTAGATTTGATTGACCATCACCACAAACTCCGACCGTCTTCTCTCTAATTGCTATAGATCTGATGGCATTGGCTTATGGATATTATGGTTTATTAGGTGGCGTGATTTGTAATGTGAAGGAAGCTGGTTATTGTTTGCTGTCGCAATCACGATGGAAGCGCTTCGAGCTTGGTGGAGGTGTGAGTTAGATGGATTAGCTTGGAAGAACACAATTCTGGTGGTTTGCAGCAGTGCCGATGGTGAGGTTTGATGTTGTTATTGGTGGCGGCGGCGGGGGGGATGACGACGAGGATGGTGGAGTGGAGGTGGCTATGACGATGAACAAAAAGGTTGTGATCAATTATTTGAGTGGTGTGATCGATAAATTAGTTAATTTGTGACCAATAAATGATAAGCGACCTAAAAGAATGTGTAATCGTGACTCAAAATTTGGTAATTTGTGATCGACTAATTCGATAATTTATGACTGAGAAATAATATGTGACAAATTAATTTGATAATTTGTGATCGATGAATAAATTGTGACTTGTAAAAATTTTGATTTATGATCGGGAATAATTTGTGACCAAATTTTTTTTTATTTTTAACAGGAAATAATTTGTAATCAATTAATTCGCTAATTTGTCACCAAGTTGTATAGAATTGTGATTTAATATATTTAATCAATAAAATATATTTTTAATCAATTAAAATTTAATAGTACCTGATTTTTGAAGTTCTAAACTTTATTTCTTAGTTTTGAAATTGATCATAATTAAACTCTTAGATATGAAATTTTTCTAAAATTAAAATATAAATGATTTCACTAGGACCGGGCATAATCCGATTCGGCTCTCTTTAACCAAACTTGAATTTTCAAGTATTTAATATGTGGAATTGTCGGATTTAAATTTAATTATGGAACTGTTCGAGCTTCGGTTCTATTCGGTTTAATTCAATTTAATTCCATTTGATTCCAAGTTCCATGCAATAATCGTTTTTTTTAATATTTACAACAATATTACATTAATTCAAGAAATAACATATTCAATTTTAGCTCTTACAAAATAAAGTAGTTCAATCTTGTGATTTCTTTTGCGCATCTCTTTTTAAAGTTTTTAATAGACTTGATTGTTAATATCGTAAAAAGAGAAATATAGTGAGCTTATAATAATGAAGGGAGACGTAAACAAGTTTCCAATTTGATTTCAGGACGACAAAAAGGTACTACTATAGAATAAGAGATTTTGATAAAACTTAAATCAATTCGATTCAATTTGGTCTGGGTTGGAAATTAGAAATAGGAAAATCACATTTTGAGTTTAGACTAAATTAGTTAGCAAATTTATTTTGAAAAAATTATTTTCTTATTCGATTATCGATTCTCAATTTAGAACCGAGAGTTGAACCAAACTTGTCTCTAGATTCAAATATTTAACTTAAGAAATAGAAAAAATTACATTTTGAGTTTGAAGTAAATTAGTTAACAAATTTATTTTTAAAAAAATAAAATAATTTGACTTGTTTAAGATACAAAAAAATTAGAAAAAATTGATTATTGGTTCTAGAACCTAGAACTGAACCAAATTCATTAATTATCGATTCAGATATTCATTCAGATGTTAAACTTTAAGAAAATTATTCGATTCGATTTGAGAGTTTTGTTTAGTGCCAAAGTTTCAACATTTACAAAAGCCCATAAAAAAGCCCGGTCCGTGTTACACGCGTTCCTTGCACTAATCAGTGTCTCCATCTATAAATAGTACTCAGATCACCAAATCTTCGTCTTAATTGGCCGACTCTCCTCTTCAAAGGGGCGGAAATCGGAGATTTCTGTATTTCACAATTTCTCATTCTCTGAACTACTCAAAGATATTAAATGAAAAAATAAGCAAAAAAAGACCAAAAATTACAACAAATCTATATCGAACTTGAACACTTCTGCTTCAGCTGTTTATAGCAATTTGATTGGATTCTTAAACGAAACCCTAAAAGTTTATAAGTCGGTGATTCAACGGTGAATATGGATATACGCTTTCCCTATTCGCCGGCGGAGGTGGCAAAGGTCCGAGTGGTCCAATTTGGCATCCTCAGTCCCGATGAAATCGTAAGTCCCCATTTCTCTATGGTTTTTCTTTAACTTTCCCAAAATCTGTTTCGCTTTAATTATTGATTATCGAAATTTATTTGCTTTCGGCAGAGGCAAATGTCTGTGGTTCACATAGAGCATAGTGAGACGACGGAAAGAGGTAAGCCGAAACCAGGGGGATTGAGTGACCCACGTCTGGGGACCATTGATCGGAAGATGAAGTGCGAGACATGTATGGCGAGCATGGCAGAGTGCCCTGGACACTTTGGTCACCTTGAGCTTGCGAAGCCCATGTTTCATATTGGCTTCTTGAAGACTGTGCTCAGCATCATGCGATGTGTTTGCTTCAATTGCTCCAAAATATTAGCTGATGAGGTATGTTTGATGTCCTGAAGATTTTGACTTTGATGTATTGATTAGAGATTGACTGTGAGCTCCATTAAGTAATGCTATTAAGGCATGTGAAATTTTTGTTCTGGAACTTTGATTTTACTTACAAGGTTTGTGAATTGTGCTTCTCATTATAAGATCATTTATAATTTGATGATTTGATTACTGATTAGAAAATGTTTTTAAATGCATCAAGTAACAACTATTAGATCATGTGAAATTTTGGTTATGGAGCCTTTATGTGAAAAGCAAAGAAAATCTGACGAAAATTCTGTATTGGATGGGAGCTGACATGTCCAAAAATTTGTAAAATCATCCCTATACATCGACCTTGCTTCTGCATAGACAGTTGTGTAAATTTGAACTTTTTACATATACTGCACACCTGGCATATATCTCGTGGAAGGAATAGGAGTATAAAAGGAATAGGAGTATAAAAGTAGTTACATCAATACAGTAAAAGAATCTGTGCTGATCTCTGATAGATTATATGAACAAGGCGTGTGAGTTATGCTTCTCTTTATAAAGGTCGACAGTAACGGCAGATCCATTTATTTGTATTAAATAGAATACCCAATATGATGTCTAATGAAGCTGAATCTTAGATTCTTAGGTAATGCATCAAAATTTGATCTGATATTTACATAAATGGTTCACCTTAGTTCTTCATGTTAAGATTACCGCTTATGTCCTCTGTGAACGGATTTTTTTTATTCTTTAGCTGCCATGGAAACAATAATGAAATACACAAAGTAAGTATTGGACATCATTTTACAAATGAAATCATGACTTCATTAAGGTATGTATTGTACATCAAATGGTGTGTTGCCATTAATGATTTCGAAACAGTAATGAGGACCACACATCTTGCTGGGTCTCAACTACTTCAATCCAAATTTCGATTCTAGAAACTAATTGTTTTACTTGGTCTTGTGGTGACTTATCGTTTAGTAGGGTCAACCTGCCTTCTTATTACTCTCACAATCATCTTATTCCTCTTTGAGGTCCTAAACTTCTAGTTTTCACTCTTTCCCTCGCCAGATGCAAGAATCAATTGTTATCTCTTCTTTCCTATTATCTATATCGTTAAACAATGACCCCTTCAAGAATTTGGGTCCCTCATTTTAATTTCCAGCGAGGAAGAAAGAGAGAATTTGTTGCAGACGTGGTATGCAGAGGAGTTCTGAAATCAAGCTTTGTGCCCTGAAATGTTTGTATAACATATAGAATCACTGATGGCTGTTGTTTTCTAAAGACAGCTGAATTGACTTGATTTTTCTAAGTTCCTTGTTTGAATCTATATCTTGCCAGCATTCACACACTGAAGGAAGAGGAAGAGCTTCCATTTATTAACAAGATGATGAATAATAGTCAGTGAGGGTATGCGACATATGTAAGGAGTTAAGACAACTATTTCTGTTGAGACTAATGTTGTTAATTTAATCTCACATCAAGTGTGATGCAACTTGTACCAGACAATCATTTATGTCTATGTATCATGAATGCTGCTTGCTCTTTTAAAATCTAGTTTTACTCATAAACAAATCCAGAATAGTTAAAAACTTTCAAGTTTTCCTTATTATGGATAACTCTAGCAATTGTGTGGTTTTCAATAACAACCGTCATGCTTCCCCAGGTGCCTTGATTTCTTGAAATGCTTTCCTGAAAGAACGATATTTTAACTGCATAGGCATAGGTATGTTAGTATAGGAGTACCATGGAGTATTGCACTGAATCTCACCTATCCAGAAACAGTTACTCCTTACAACATTGAAAGGTTTCCTTGTTTCATTTTGTTCTTTTGATTGTCTATCTTCCTGTATATTGGTTTACTCACTCATAGTAACTTGGCCTTGAATATAGGTTGAAAGAGCTTGTGGAATATGGGCCTCATCCTCCTCCAGGTAAAACTGGGGCGAAGTATATAATTAGGGATGATGGACAAAGGCTTGATCTACGGTACTTGAAGAAAAGCAGTGATCAACATCTAGAACTTGGATATAAGGTGATCATTGTTAACTCTATGAGCAACAATGATCTAGGTTCAGATTTTTGAGTGCTCGTGCCTAAATTTATTGTCATTAATACAGGTGGAACGGCATTTGAATGATGGGGACTTTGTCCTGTTCAATCGGCAACCAAGTCTCCACAAAATGTCAATAATGGGGCATCGAATCAAGATCATGCCTTATTCAACCTTCCGCCTAAACTTGTCTGTTACTTCGCCCTACAATGCTGATTTTGATGGGGATGAAATGAACATGCATGTTCCCCAGTCATTTGAAACTAGAGCTGAAGTGCTTGAACTGATGTTGGTTCCTAAATGCATTGTGTCACCTCAATCAAATCGGCCTGTAATGGGGATTGTCCAAGATACACTTTTAGGGTGCCGGAAAATTACCAAAAGAGATACATTTATTGAGAAAGTAATCAAGCTGTACTTTGTTGTTGTAAATTTACTTTTGTTTCCCCGAGTGGGGTCTGAACCCTTTATGTTAATCTTGTTCAGGATGTTTTCATGAACATTTTGATGTGGTGGGAGGATTTTGATGGCAAAGTACCAGCTCCAGCAATTTTAAAACCTAGGCCTCTTTGGACTGGAAAACAAGTTTTCAATCTAATAATTCCAAGACAGATAAATCTCCTGAGATATGCAGCATGGCATCAAGAATCTGAAAAAGGATTCATAACTCCGGGGGACACTCAAGTTCGAATAGAGAAAGGAGAGTTACTTTCTGGCACCCTATGCAAGAAGACACTTGGGACTTCCACTGGAAGTCTTATACATGTTATTTGGTAATTGATAATGCTTTAGCTGTCGAGAGTGTTTAATTTCTACTTCGTAAAATACAATGAAAACTGTTTTTATTCTATAGATTCTCATTTTTAATGAATGCTCATGAGCTTAGTAAACAGATTCCCATCTTTGATTGAATGCCTTCTGGTGTTGCATGTGATTAATTAAATGTGTTGCTAAAATCTGCATTGAATAATACACATGTATTGTGTTGATGCTGATATTATGTGATACATTCATGTATTTTGGCTGAAAAATAGTTGCCAACTAATCACAGCGATCACTCTGCGCCAAAAATGTTTAGCCCCTGTTTGAGCCCTATTCTATAAAAATTCATTTTCTTTCAAACTCGTTCAACCACACATCTCTCAATAAAATAATTACATGTAAACCCAAAATATTTCTCTACCCTTTAACTACACATTCTCCAAAAACTTTACCATTACAAAACCTATTCTACATAAAAATGGATCTCAAACACAGCCTTTATTTCATTCATGTAATATAGCTGCACTTGGGATACTAGCTGCTTAAATGTGCTCCTTACTCATGTTTGTATGTAACATTGCTAATGCATCCAGGGAGGAAGTTGGTCCAGATGCTGCTCGGAAGTTTCTGGGACATACACAATGGCTGGTCAATTATTGGCTTTTGCAGAATGCTTTTAGCATTGGAATTGGAGATACAATTGCTGATGCTTCAACAATGGAGAGAATTAATGAAACCATTTCAAATGCAAAGAATGAGGTGAAGGAACTTATCAGGTCTGCGCAGGAAAAGCAGTTGGAGGCTGAACCTGGTCGAACAATGATGGAATCATTTGAAAACAGAGTGAACCAGGTATGTAATATGAATTCATTTTTCTGCCTGAGATTTATTGATCCTGACATATTCCTTGTCCCCTTAGGTGTTGAATAAGGCCCGTGATGATGCTGGAAGCAGTGCACAGAAGAGCTTGTCGGAGAGTAACAATCTTAAGGCTATGGTAACTGCAGGATCTAAGGGAAGCTTTATAAACATATCACAAATGACTGCTTGTGTGGGGCAGCAGAATGTTGAAGGTAAACGAATTCCTTTTGGATTCATAGACCGGACATTGCCCCACTTCACTAAAGATGATTATGGTCCAGAGAGTCGTGGTTTTGTGGAGAACTCGTATTTAAGAGGGTTGACCCCTCAAGAGTTCTTCTTCCATGCTATGGGTGGTAGGGAAGGTCTGATAGATACTGCTGTGAAAACTTCTGAGACTGGATACATACAGAGGCGATTGGTAAAGGCCATGGAGGATATCATGGTTAAGTATGATGGGACTGTCAGGAACTCTTTGGGGGATGTTATTCAGTTTCTTTACGGGGAAGATGGTATGGATTCTGTCTGGATTGAATCACAGCCATTGGAATCTTTGAAGTTAAAGAAATCAAATTTCAATAACATGTATAGATATGAGATTGATGATCCAGATTGGAATCCTAGTTACATGTTGCCTGAAGCTGTGGAAGATCTAAAAACAATCCGTGAAATTCGCAGCGTGTTCGATGCAGAGGTTCAGAAACTTGAAGTGGATAGATACCAACTTGCGACGGAGATTGCGACAACAGGTGACAACTCTTGGCCTCTGCCTGTAAATATCAAGAGGCTTGTGTTAAATGCACAAAAGACCTTTAAAGTTGACTTTAGAAGGCCTTCTGATATGCACCCAATGGAGATCGTGGAAGCTGTTGATAAGCTGCAAGAAAGGCTTAAGGTGGTTGTCGGTGATGATTACCTGAGTATGGAAGCTCAGAAGAATGCCACACTTTTTTTCAATATATTATTGCGCAGTGCTTTGGCTAGTAAGAGAGTTTTAAAGGAATACAGACTTACTCGTGAAGCTTTTGACTGGGTTATTGGTGAGATAGAATCTCGCTTCTTGCAGTCACTTGTAGCATCTGGGGAAATGATTGGTTGTGTTGCTGCGCAATCAATTGGTGAGCCTGCGACTCAAATGACTCTTAATACTTTTCACTATGCTGGTGTGAGTGCCAAAAATGTTACTCTAGGTGTTCCGCGGTTGAGGGAGATTATTAACGTTGCTAAGAAAATAAAAACACCATCGCTGTCTGTATACTTGAAGCCTGAAGTAGGTAAAACAAAGGAGAGGGCCAAAAATGTCCAGTGTGCTCTAGAATACACAACTTTACGGAGTGTTACACAAGCTACAGAAGTATGGTATGACCCTGATCCCATGAGCACCATTATTGAGGAAGACGTTGAATTTGTGAAGTCCTATTATGAGATGCCTGATGAAGAGATTGACCCTGACAAGATCTCTCCCTGGTTGCTTCGAATAGAATTAAATCGAGAGATGATGGTAGATAAGAAGCTCAGCATGGCAGACATAGCAGAAAAGATTAATCTTGAATTCGATGACGATCTCACGTGCATATTTAATGATGATAATGCTGAGAAACTGATCCTCCGTATTCGTATTATGAATGATGAAGCTCCTAAGGGTGAGCTGCAGGATGAATCAGCCGAGGATGATGTGTTCCTCAAAAAGATTGAAAGTAACATGTTAACAGAAATGGCTCTCCGAGGCATTCCAGATATTAATAAGGTGTTCATAAAAAACAGTAAACTAAATAAATTTGATGAAACTGAAGGATTTAAGGCAGAGAATGAGTGGATGTTGGATACTGAAGGTGTTAATCTTTTGGCTGTCATATGTCACGAAGATGTTGATGCGAGGAGGACCACAAGTAATCACTTAATTGAAGTTATCGAAGTTCTTGGAATTGAGGCAGTTCGAAAAGCCTTACTGGATGAGCTGCGTGTTGTCATATCTTTTGATGGATCTTATGTAAATTACCGGCATTTGGCAATATTGTGTGATACCATGACATATCGTGGTCATTTGATGGCCATCACCCGTCACGGGATTAATCGCAATGATACTGGGCCCATGATGAGATGCTCGTTTGAAGAAACTGTTGACATTCTACTTGATGCCGCTGTCTTTGCTGAAACAGATTACCTGAGGGGTGTCACTGAAAATATAATGTTAGGTCAGCTTGCACCAATTGGCACAGGAGACTGCTCCTTGTTGCTGAATGAGGAGATGTTGAAACAAGCCATTGAGATCCCTCTCCCGAGCTACATGGAAGGGGGCATGGATTTTGGCATGACTCCTGCCCGTTCACCACATTCTGGAACACCATATCACGATGGCATGATGTCTCCAAGTTATCTACTGAGTCCAAATCTGCGGTTATCTCCTGTTACAGATGCTCAATTTTCTCCTTACGCTGGTGGAATGGCTTTTTCACCGACATCGTCTCCAGGCTACAGCCCATCATCTCCTGGATACAGTCCATCCTCCCCTGGATATAGCCCCACCTCCCCCGGTTATAGCCCCACTTCCCCTGGTTATAGTCCCACTTCCCCGACCTATAGCCCTAGTTCTCCTGGATATAGCCCAACAAGTCCTGCATATTCTCCTACAAGTCCATCGTATTCACCAACTTCTCCCAGTTACAGCCCAACATCACCTAGTTACAGCCCAACGTCGCCAAGTTACAGCCCTACATCTCCAAGTTACAGCCCTACTTCTCCTGCGTACAGCCCAACTTCCCCAGCATACAGCCCGACTTCTCCTGCGTACAGCCCGACTTCTCCGTCATACAGTCCGACTTCTCCATCGTATAGTCCAACTTCTCCATCGTACAGCCCCACCTCTCCGTCATACAGTCCAACTTCTCCATCATACAGCCCCACCTCACCTGCATATAGCCCAACCTCTCCTGGATATAGCCCCACCTCCCCCAGTTACAGCCCTACCTCTCCAAGTTACAGCCCTACATCACCGAGTTACAATCCCTCAGCCAGATACAGCCCTTCCCTAGCATACTTACATCACCGAGTTACAATCCCTCAGCCAGATACAGCCCTTCCCTAGCATACTCGCCTACTAGTCCAAAGATCACACCTTCTAGTCCGTACAGTCCCTCATCTCCAAGTTACAGGTAAGTAAAGCTCTTTGTAATTCTTGCTGTGTAATTTACTGGTTGAATTGTCTTCATGCTAATTACTATGTCTAGTAACGTAAGACTAGCTAAGTTGGGAGTCATTACCGTTATCACATATGGTTGGTTCATCATATGTAGTTGGTTATATTATGAGTTCTTTTTTGCATTTAACTTCTGCAATGTGACTCAAGAATGACTTGGTTGAGTTTTCATCCTTATTGCAGCCCGACATCGCCTTCATACTCTCCCACATCTCCGACGTATTCTCCTTCTAGTCCAACATATAGTCCAAGCAGGTAAATTGGTTATTACACGATTAGGATTGCTTGAAAGAAGAATCATGATGAGAGTGCTTTGATGTAATGTGTGTGAATCTTACGTTATTATTTGACTTTTCAGCCCATATAACTCCGGGGCAAGTCCGGACTATACTCCTAGTTCTCCACCATACAGGTGAGTGGTAGCACTGTATTAGCTGATGGTGTTTATTCCAAAGTCAGACAATGTAATTCAGCTACTTGTTTGGTTCTAATCTGTTCCTACTTTTTGTTTTATTTTCAGTCCAAGTGGAGGATACTCACCTAGTGCACCTGGGTATTCCCCGTCTACAACCAGCCAATACAGTCCCCGTGTTAGTGAGAGAGACGACAAAAGTGTTCGGAATGATAAGGGTCGCTGAACCGCATACCTGTGCCATAGACCAAGATGGAGAACAAAGTTTCTATTCCTGATATCTTGACTTCTCTGCAGTGTTTTAGAAAGATGCCAGCTAATAATTGATCGTTGCCTTGTGGATCTGGTTTATCGTGTACTGAATTTGATGTGGTTGCACATTCTAAATTAGGTAGTGGTACATTTAATCATGGACGTGCTTCTGCTGGAAATTGAACGATTTGGTTGTCGATGTAACCATAAAAGAATGTGAAATTAGAGAAACAGAGTCGATGTCGATATAAAATGTAAGTTAGGCTGTCGAAAGGTAATATCCAGAATGGTGTGTTCATGAATAGGGTTAACTCCCTGTTCCGATTGGTCAAGTTCGTTAGCTGTGTTGATTTTGAAAGCACCCAATCTAATGAATCATATCCTTCTGTCCCTGTAATTTTAAAATAGATACCCGGTGGATTGCTCAAATTTGCGATGTTTTGTAGAACTTCTATTCTCTATAAACTGAATCTAGAATTTTGTATTGTTCCTTGTACTTGGTATCTCTGGTAATTTTTTGGGTTAGACGTTGTACTTCATTACAATGTACGAAAAAAAATTGAATTAAATCTTGGTTTCATACTCATTTGTTTTCGTTCATATCTCGGGTGACACCAAATGCTATAACTTATCGTATGCATGACAGTAACAAAGCGCAAGTCTAATGACTATATTTGCAATCTCGATGAACGATTTGTCGCGAACAATTTTTGAAGTTTGATGTGGTTTTCTGTATCCTATGATGAATTTAGCAAACTTGTTTTCAAATTAGAATCCATACAATAGCTATAACATTATTTAACACTATAAATGAAATTATCAATATAAAAAATTGTTAAAAAAATGATTTCATTATGTTAAACTTAGCAAAATAATAAAGATAAAGATATTAATAGTTAAATAATGATAAAAGTAATTAAAAATTACAATCGAATTCTCTTTCAATAATATTAAGGAAGTAGGAATATGCTACTTGTACATAATGTGGTGTTCATAGTGGTGTTCACTTCCTCACATAGAGGAGAATCCACTTCTGATAAATTATATTTTATTTGAAGAGTGATTCCCCTTTCATATGAGAGAGGTGGACACCGTTATAGATACCCTGATGCAGGGCCGAGGTAAGTGAGGCCCTTGCCTCAGGCCCAAAAATTTAGGGGGCCTCATATTTTTTTATTTTTTTAATATATACCTAATCCATAAAGAAATGAATAAAGAAAAAAAAATGATTTCCCTGAGGATCACAGGTCAAAGCATCATAGGTGGTTGCCGACGACATCACCAATGGTAGTGTCTTTGTTAATGTACATATTTGGTTTGTTATAATAATGTTATTTAGAATAATAATAATAATAATAATAATAATAATAATAATAATAAGAGAGTGATTTATCATTTATGTCCCTTTTCTCTCATAAATTGTCTTATATTCCTTGCTAAGCTGAGAAGTTAATGTCAAAATTTCACATTCTGAAATATTAGCAATGATGTTGTTCGATGACACTGGACTACATCATTGTGTTTTCCTAGATTTTTCATCTCACTTTTCCTCTTCCTACCGGCACTTTATTAAGGAAAAAAGTAATAAATTTTATAGCGACACAATTTTGTTATTTCAGTTATTGTGTTTGTTTAGTTTAACATATTTGTCAAATTTTCAATAAAGGTATTTATTATAATTATTATGTAAAATAGCGATGGTGGTGGAGCAGGTGGAGGTCGGGACAGCCATTTTCGTCTGTTTAATAAATATTTTTGTTTCCTTACTCCCCATCCCCATACCCGACTAAGCTGGGATGAAGGCGGAACAAGTAGGTTCCTTGCCTTATTTATCTCTTCATTTATTTAAATTTTATTTTTCTTATTTTTTTAAATAGTTTTAATTAGTGAAAATCACGTTTCCCCCAATTTGAAGAACAACTCGTGTTTCTTCTAGAAAGCGTGATGATTCTTTTTGTTTTGTGTCCCCATTTCATGTAATCAATTAGGTGGGAAGTCCTCGCCCCATTTGAGATGGCATGTAAGGTTTTTTTGGCGAATGTTGCTTCTTGGACAGGGATGGAGACAGGGGCTGTCCACATGTCCCCCATCCCCTGTCCATAAGGTTTTTCCCTTTTTTGGCATCCCTTATGTAAAATGTAAATTTTGTTATAAATTAGAGAAAAAGGAAAGAACAAGAAAGAGAAGTCAATAAATTTGAGTGTGTTGTAATGAGAACCAAAACCCCATATTTATAGGGAAGAATAGGGGTGACAATTGTAATAATTTCTAGGATAGTAGAAGTACAATTGTCATTTATTAATAAACTTACAATTTACAAAACACCTACTTAAATGACACATTACGAAATATATGCTTTGTTGAAACTGTGATAAAAATTTGATACGAAAAAGAAAATCAAATAAAAGAAAAAATAGTACAATTATTTTGGAGTATTAAAAATAGGGTTGTACTTGATATATATAAAATATAAACATATGGATGTCTACAGCCCTCACATGGGATGGGGCCTGCGTATTCTTAAAAATAAATATTGCCTCATTAAAATATTACTAGGGCAACTTAGTGGGACCAAATCTAAGCGAATGAAAAAAAAAGTACAGTTATTCCCCTTGATGTTAATTACTGATTTTTTTTATTTGAATTATCTTTTGCAAGATTTAGATAATGATGCATTTTTATATTATTTACAACTTCTTAATTCTCCCCTGATATTGAGAGGATTGTCCAATCAAATTGACAATCAACAAACTTTATAAAATATTACTACGCATTTCATCTTATCATTTTTTATTTTTCATCTTAGTGCAATCTGGTGGATTAATTTTACATATATTGCAATATCAAATAATTAGATGAAGAAATCAAGCACTAACCACAAGCAAATTATAATATGGCGAATTATGATGTCGGCATGATGCGTAATAACATTCTCTAAACAAAAGCGATTTTTTTTTTGTTCTTAATTAAATTAATTGAAGGCGTTTAACAAACGATAATGTTAAACCATTTATCAACGTCTCAACTAACGCTTATTAAAAAGTTGAGAACTATGATACTGATATTAACAAGACACACAATCTTGATTGTATAATTTGAAAATTATGCTCACAATTTAAAATTTGAATAATAATTTTGCAAATTTCAAGTTGCGAGCACCGTGCAATCATATAATATTTGATTCAAATTTATTAGATTTACATAATAATTGGCTGGTCAACGTGGATGATGATGAGCCCCATTTATTACCCTAATTAATTTTCAGAAATATAGGGATTTTAGTCCTTATTTTTGCTATTGATGATTAATAAAAAAAAATTTCGTAAAAGAGAACAAATATCATATAAGATTTCATTAGATTAGCTAATCTTTCGATTCTTCATTAAATATCAATTTGAATGTTAAATTTTGTATCATTATTAATCCAGTGATGATTGTACCGATCATGCTAAACAATAAAGTCAAATTGAATTTCTAGTTCAATATAATATATAATTCAACTATTTTATTTTCGAAGAATACGATTAAATATTATATAATAATATATTAATTAAGTAGTCAAACTAATCAATATTCTTACGACAATTATTATATATTTTCTTTCAGGGATAAACATGAATTCTAAATAATATACTTTTTCAAAAATGTACTATTTCGAGAGCACATTATCTTTAATTATTGATTCTTCAAGTTATAAATCAATATTCTTAAAAAATATTGAAAATTATAATTCATACTCTTCAAGAACGATAAATTAATATTCCTCTTGAATATTAATAACATAGAAACATAAGTTTCCTTTAAAAATTACAAGTGGTATTGAGTTGTTTAATTTGTATTTTTTCAAGAAAACAATGAGATATATATTATTCAAGATATGTGCTTTTTCTAAAGCACTTTATATTTTATTATTATTCTTTCAAGAACAATAAATCAATATTATTTTGAAATATTGAAAAATTATAATATTACACTCTTCAGAAGAAGAAAAAAAGTTTATTCAGAATAATAAATTATGAAAGAATTTACTCTTCAAGAGCAAAAAACATAATTTATGTTAGATTGCATTTATTATACTCTTCTGGAACAAGTAAAATTTAACAAGATTATCAATATGTAAATACATATACAGAATAATGGACTCGTAAAGAAATTGAGTAATTTAATTAGTGATTTTACATAGAAATTGATCAATATTCCTAGAGCAATTAATATTATTTAAAAATATTCTTTATAATGTTGTGTTACTTCAAGAGTAATACCATATTTATAAATAAACGGGTATATGATTAATGTTAACATATTTATAAATAAACAGATATATGATTAACATTCTTTTGGAATATTGGAATTGGATTATTATGTTATTCAGGAACAATAATAAATTATTGTTTGAAGTAATAAATTGTATAAAAATTTACTCTTCAGGAATATGTTTATAGTAAAATATTAATATTTACAGTGTCATAATTTTTCGAGATCAACAATGAGATAAATTATTAATTTAAGAAATGAAAAGTTATTTGATCAAGTTAAAAATATTAATTATAAGATAGATACAATATAATTTTATATATAAAAATTAATTACCGAGCATATATAAAATAAAGAATCTTCATATATAGAAGTTAACAAAATTAACTAAATCTTTTATTAACGTACAAAAGATACCAAATATGCACATAATTCCACTTCTAAAGAAATTAAAGGAAGAACTAATACGTGGCAGAATCAAATGGTAGAAATAATACGTGAATAATATATGTCAGAATTGATTGTGTATGAATCAAAATACATGAATTTTTTTTCATTTTTTACAACCATTAAATTTTCAAAAAAATATTATTCTCCCCATTATAAATCCAAATAATAAGAGCCAAACGAGGGCTAAAATTAATATACATACAAACAAGAAAAGTAAAAAAACCACCTCATATATAGGGATGCTAAAAATACCCATCAAACCCGATATTCATCGGGGCTGCCATGAACGGGGAGGGGATTACTTACATAATCAAATAATCGAGTTGGATACGAGGAGGAGAATTTCGCCCCAAGATGGGTACAAGTAACAGGGCCCCTACTTCTTTATTATTATTATTATTATTATTATTTAAATTCAAGATTTTAAATGGAAGAACTCCATGAAATTTCATTAACTCTAAAAGAAAATGACAATTAAGATTATCTAAAAAATATGATAAACAATAAAATCTTAATTTACCAAATATATTCGAATAATTTAATTTTTAAAAATAAATAAATTAATTAAAAATTTTAATAATTATATTATTGTATTACTTGAATGAATAGGGATAATAAAATGAATTATCAAAATCTTTTAATAAAAAATTAAAAGAACATGTAAACGGTGCAACCGTCCCACTCTCACCTTGAATGGATAACGGGGCGGGAATGAGATGAGACGAGAAAATGCTCGGTGGGATGGGACGAGGGAACCTACCCAGTTACCAACCTTACTTGTATGATGCATACTTACATTGAAAGAATTCACGTGTCACCAAGTTAATTTTGACACACATGACAAATGATTATGTTTATAAAAATTATTATATTCTAACTAATTTACTTTCATCTTAATAGAATCGAGCTGATAACATGTTGAGTAATCAATAAACTTATGTACATTATAATGAGAATCAAAATTTCATATTTATAGTAAATTATTAGAGATACAATGATAATAATTTAGAAGAATTGTAAAGTACAATCATTCACGGATAAATTTATCATTAAAAACAAATTTGTAAAATAAGGTATCCAATAATTGCAGACATATTTTTATTTTGTAAAATCACACATTTTATACTAGTGTATTTTTTTACCTGTCCAAATTCCAAAGCTTAAAATTTTCAAACAAGACCCTGAAATCTCCAGATTCTCCACTCTCCTCCGACCAGTGAAAATTTTCTGCTCTGTGCGAGGGAGAGGACGCGCAACTGGTGAGATGACGATGATGACAAGCTTCATCAGCATGTCATCCTTAACCTTCCATACCCCATTCCATGGAACCCCTCTTCTCTCTCATCCACCTTCTCTATGCGCTACTCCATTTCGTCCCTTGCTTAAGGTACCCTCTTTCCCTCTGCGTGTGCGTGTAAGTGCAATTATGAATACGTCTACATGTGTACTTCGATGACTGAAGTTTTTTTTATCATTCTTGAACGAAATAATTGTTAGACGAGACGTGGGGTGCGCGAATTTAAGCTGCTTAGAGTGAATTGTTTATCGGATCAGAGTGAAGATGCCGCCGAGTCCAAACTCGAAACGCCGTCGCTATCTTCTTCTATGATTAGAGATGATTACACGGAAAATTCAGCATTCAAGTGGTGCGCAGCTCTTGGAGGCCTTGGATTTTTGGAGACTTCCTACTTGACCTACCTCAAGTTCACAAATTCTGAAGCCTTCTGCCCTGTCGGAGGCACTACTTGCACAACCATTCTCAATAGCGATTTCTCCGTCGTTTTTGGTACTCTCTTCATTGTCTTAATTTAAGGAGACGTTATAAATTATACATTTGCGTGTCAAATGTTTTTGAACGATGCTTTTTGTAGAACTCACCTTAAAGCCCCTTGTACGGGAAGACTGCTCAAAGTGCTCATAAACTAATACCAATTGGGATTTGGAAGTGATCGTTGCACATGAATCAATATTTAAGGATTTCCACTTAACTTGGATCTGTTGCCGTTATCAACATCATCAATAACCACTTTTATGCGGCAATTCAATTCACGCTAATAGAAGATATGGAACTGCTTAAGGGAATATGTATAGTTCTATAAAAATTAAGATACTTTGGTAGTTAACATTCAAGTTAACACTGGAGAGTGAGAGAGTGGAGGATACATGATTTTCCAGGTGCTAAATGGTACTGGCTGTCATCAATTACTTTATGTATATTTTGTACAAGTAGAATTTCTTTTTCATCTTAAGTATTTTGAATTCGGTCTTGGTGATATTTATGTGAAGATTTAGGATTCACAAGGCTTAGTTTGTGGTTTATCTATAGTTTACCCTCTGTTGGGCAAGTTCATAAATTAATTATAAATAGTCAAACTTCATTTTTTATCACACATTTTGATGTACTCAAAAGTAGTACCCACTTATCTACCACTTATTTCTATCTACTTATAAATTAAACCATTATAAATTCTTCCCAAATGGAGGCTTAATTGGTAACCATTGTCACCTGATCTTTATCTCGTGTTGTTTGATACTTATGAACCTTAGAACCTGCAAACAAAAATGTTTTGCATTATAATGTATGCAAATTAATAAGAAAACGAATTATGCAATTTGCAATGCAGCTAAGTGTTTGGTAAATAATTTATTTTATCCTTTTTTGCCAGGTGTTCCTCTTCCATTGGTAGGTATGCTGGCATATGGATTGGTTGCAATCCTTGGCCTACAATTGGGTGCGAACGGCAAGCTTTTAAACATTGAAAGAAGCGATGCTCAGATGGTTTTAAGTGGGACAACTACCGCCATGGGCGTTGCTAGTGCATATTTTTTGTATATTCTGAGCACGAGATTTGCAGGAGAGTCTTGTTTATATTGCTTGTCATCAATAGCATTATCTTTCAGCTTGTTCTTCATCACCATAAAGGTCTTTTCCCTGGCAAGATTCTTAGCTTTTCATGGAGCCAGATTACTGCTTTGTACTGTAATAATGATAAGAATGTTTTGGATTGCAGAGTTTGGGGTCTCAGAAGATTCAAAAAACAGTGGGTTTACAGCTCTGCATCGCTAGTTTGGTGGTTTTTGCTTTAAGCAGATCATACAATGCCGCCGAACCTGCATCCACACGGTAATATAGTAGTGCTATTAATTGGGATAGCCTAGAGAAAATTCTCACTTGCTTAACTGAATGTTATTGCACAGAATAATAATGATTATTCTGAGTTGTTAATCTTATGCGCAATTGGGGATACGAATATAGGATTTTGCTCCCAAATTAAAAATTGCTATATTAGTTGTAGGATGATCAATTAAAAAAAAAAAAAAAAAAAGGGAAACAATGTTAAAAAGGCCTGATTTTCTCATATATAGAAGATATAAAATCCTAGACTTTGGACCACGGAGAGAATTTTTCGTTCTCTTTCTTTTTCCTTAGGTAATTTGTGAAGGAAATATTGCTATACGATTCACTGATATATTCATCATTGACAACTAAGGATGGGGCAAATTCATTAACAAATCCTATCTTCTCTCTCTTTTTGTGAATTTCAACCTCTTGAAAAAAGGATTAGATGTATTGTGTGGGTATTTTTGCATTTTAGACATATTGATCTTTCAGGTTCCTTATCTTTTGTTTGCGGGTTGCTTTGTTTATATTTTATAATTTTCAATTCGTGGGTCTAAGTTTATAGATTTTGTTGAAATATGATAGATTGGAATGTTGAATGAACAAATTCTTCAGTTAATTATGAGGTCACTTTTTTTGTTGATGCACACAAGCTTTGATGCTTGGATTCTTGTTTCCGACCGGCATACCCATGTCGACACAACACGACACAGATACGGGTATGAGACATGGGGCGGACACAGCAATTTTGAATTGGTCATTGCAATCTCGAAAGGTTGACCGTGGCAGTGCCACCGCAGAGAAAGATGGGAAGCACTGCCTGTCGGCGAGGAAGAAGAATTGTTCACCATCGATTTCAATCGGTGGCAGAGGAAGAACTGTTTATGTTGTGATTTCCATCGATTTTAAGTTGGCGAGGAAGATGAACAGTATCGAAGGAGAAATGAAGGGGCATGGTCTACTTGGCCTACCGACATATGTGCTTTAACATCTATATTAGGTTAGTGTCTTGTAAGTCCAATCATTTAATAGAAGAAGCCCACTAAGAAAAGGTTTATAGGATGAACTCTAAATGAAAAGGTGAAATAAACTTTAGTTTTATAAGATTTGAATTACATTTTTACCCTTAATTAAAAAACGAGGGAGAGGTATTCTAAATCTAAAAAAGGAAAACTTATTATCATTTAAATTTACCACTTCCCCAAATTAAAAATTCAATTAAATCTATTTGTTATTTAAGTATTTATATAATATGATGCAATAAGTATAAAAAAATAATTAGTTTAGACTATTAAATTAATGAAATATATTAATCAACATGCCTACAACGTAACGTGAAGAAATTTTTTCAAAAAATCACGTATCGATGTATCCACGTACTGTGTATGAAATTTGTACTCTTTTTAACAATGTTCTCATGTCCTATATTTTTAAAAATAAAAGATTCGATGCTTGGATTTTTGCCCGAGTCCAAGCATCATAGCATACAAGTGGAACCATTTTCATCTGCTTACCTTTTTTGGCAATTTGACCGAGTGATTAGACCTTAGTCAAGGAAGGTTCCGTTATACACGAAGTAATGTTTGGGCACCTGAATAGAACCTCTGCATTGAACAAGATGAATCATGAATGTTTACTATTGTCCGTGACTAAAACATTATGTGACTAGTTAAATAGTACATTTGCTAATCTCATGTTCAATAACTGAAGTAGAGGACTAGAAGTATAAAGTTTTATTTATTTTTTATTTTCCCATTCAAAGTTAAGACATGGTTGTTAGGCCTACACTCCTACTAAAGCTGAATGGAGGGTTAGGCGACGTTACAATCTAACACCTATGCTACACACGAGATAGGAGAATTTATACGAGAAACAACTAACATTTTCCCACCTTTATATGATATAGCACATTCTATAATTAGGAAAATCCCATTATCAACTTTGACAAGCCCTTCAGTTTCTCTAGTTAATTCATGGTATAACAGTGTTTTGAATGTTTTTTCAAAATTGCTCTCTTGAAATATGTGAAAATGACCATCGGAAGAATGTAACACTCTAAATTTTCATAAATCTTGAAGTGTTACAAAAAATTACTTTTATTTGTATTAAAGGCGGAACGATAAAATAAATTTTTTTAGTAAAAAAAAAAAAAATAATCGAAACATTCATAACTTAAATTAAATCATGGAAATTGTATCTTGAAAAATAAACATAATCAACTAACTAATTAAATAACATGTTTTTGAACAAATTAAACTAATTAGTAAAGTTAAAGATAGAAAAATTTAAGCTATGTTTGAGCCACATTTTTTCAAAAAAATACATTCTTAAACAGTGATTTTACATCATTTTAACCACACATTTTTCAATAAAATAATATTACACGCAAATTTAAAACTTTTCGTTATTTTTTAACCATATATTTCCAATCAATACACTATTCGAAAATCCATTCTTAGGAATATAGTGTGGCCCTTGTTTTAGCCCCATTTTAACGGAAAGAATGTATTTCTAAATAGTGATTGATAGAGAATGTGTGGTTAAAAATTAAGGAAAAGTTTTGGGTTTATATGTAATATTATTTTATTAAAGAATATGTGGTCAAAAATGAGTTTTGAAAAAATGAATTTTGAGAAGAATGGGGATCAAACAAGGGCTTAATGTTTATTTTCCTATTTCTTCGATCCACTTGGTAGTCTGCATTACCATCCTGCCACAGATCCAATCGACCCGTTCTAACTTGTAAAATTAATATAAGAGTATGTAAAAACACCTAGCGAGGTACTTGCAGTTTCCATACACAATTATATAACAATCAATTTGAACACTTCATACCATTCATCTCTTATGGAGTATAACGGTAACCAAGCGACACAACCATCTTATGTCATCTTAAATTCTCGAAGGATTTCATATCTTTTTATAAAGAACTAGAAGGTTCACTAACAATTCATGCATAAATGACTGAATACATAAAGATATACCGAAATAAACTACTTATACATAAGTATTTTACCTCGATAGATTTGAAAAGTTATGGAGGAATGTAAAATAATACACGTGAAAACCCTTTTTCTATGCTTCTTACACTCTCTGCCTAAACTCTCTTTGCTGTCGTGTATGCAATAATAAATTGTGTGCAAAAGTTATACCATCGTGTTATATATACATATACATATGTATATGTAATATGTATGTATGTATCTAGGAAATCATAATTTGGCCTATATAGAGTTGTGTGTAAAGTAGGGAACCATGTATTGCTAGAAATTGAATGGTATCAAAAGTAGACTGTAGGTAAGAATAGGTTTTTACTTTATAGAATAAGAATCGTGTTCAATTAATGATTTCCTACCAATCACATTTAAATAGCTTGCAAAAGGATTAAGTCAACATTTATTACAATAATAAATAAAAAAGGATGAGAATTACCAATAAAATATAACTTTTTTGGACTTCAATATCTTTGACATAGCTTATCAGAATTAACTTTTCTCGAGTCAAAGGCTTCTAATTAATTACAAGCTTCAAAAAGAGTCCAATATCGATATACTAAATCTCGTTTTATCAAAGTCTAATTATTTGACCCTAAAAAAATTATAAGAATTTAAACATGTTTCACTTTAGTCATTTAATTTTTTAAAATATAGAAATATAACATATAGAACAAATACATTTTATTATAAAATTTTTGGGACTTTACAAAGAATCTTAGGTGCTCAAGACGATGGAGAAATGAGTGGAGATGGAGGAGGGAAATCTCTAGAAGAACACCTGCACATTTTTTAGAAAAAAATACACAATGATAGCAATTTTTAGGTGAAAAATATTTTTGAAACTCGGTCGTATTAGTTCTACTAATATTTTATCTTTTTTAAATATGGATATTTGGGTAAGGTTAAACTCATCAACCTAATGATAAACAGAACATTATGTAGTCTGTGAAAGTGTTAATTTTGTTACCATATCATATATTCATTTCATATTTTAGTTAAAGTAGAATAACTAATACTTAAGGGAAAAATTGTAGCAGCGGTCCCTAACCTTGTCGTTTTTTGCAGATTTTACCTTAACCTTCATTTTGTGCTAATGAAGATCCCTAACTTTTTATAAATATACACTTTATTTCCATCTGGACGGAAACCATCTAAAACATCGCCAGTTGACCAGAAAAATTCCTTGGACTATCTGCTACGTGACGGTTTTATTAGATATTGATACCTTTTTGGATGGTGTTTTTGGACAGTATTTTGGACGATTTTATTGGATGTTGATTCATTAATTTTCCTAGTCAACTGACGATGTTTTGGACGGTTTCTGTCTAGATGAGCCCCAGGTGCATATTTATAAATGGTTAGAGACCTTCGCTGGCACAAAATAAAGGTTAGAGTAAAGCCTGCAAAAAATAAAAAGGTTTGGGACCCCTACTCTAATTTTCCCAATACTTAAATCCCAATAGGACAGTAGACAATTTAAGGTTTTGTTGAGCCTGGGTACATATTCAGGCCTTATTGCATATTGATAACAGTTAGATTTAGAAACTTAACAGATTGTTTTGAATTCTACCTATTCCTGGCTTTCTGGTGTTCGCATTGTTTTGAACAGAAAGAGGTACTTCCTCTTTTAGCAGTTGCTTCTGATTGAACTTTCATATGGGGAGGTGCTATAACCATAAAATTTTTGAGTAAAATTTGGTCTATATTTTCTTGTCTGTTAAAATGAAGCTTGCAAACGTTCATAATAACCTCGTAGAGATGATGTAAAATCTTTGGGCCAAAAGAATTGAAAGAAAAATAGATACACATCATTTTTTTTTTTTTGCCTGACGTAAGACAAATACTTGTCACTAGGAAAATCTCGGTATAATTTATGGCCCATTTGGGAGTAATTTTAGAGAAGATCACTTGACCAATGATTTATTTGAGGAAGTGTTTTCATTATCTTATGACATGTTGGGACAAATGTCGGATGTTTAAAAACACGTTATTTGCCCCACTTCTGGATTTTTTTGGTACTGTTTTATTTTATTTTTGATTGGAAATATAGAAAATCATCTACTATGTGATGTTTGTATTTGACAAACCATGTTTTTCTTTCTCGAAGACATTTCTGCAATGGGAAAAAAACCTAATATGCTTTGTGTTATCTGACTTGTGGGTCCTTATGAGGAAAACAAATGTAATGGACATTCTATCGAAGACTTACCCAAATTATGCATTTATTGTAGATACTAGAATTAAGAAATAGACCAGGATATGTTTGATTCAGTTTTGATTTATTTCGTTCCATTTCAAATTAGAAATGTTTCACCTTGTTATTTTGGTTAACATTCAATGTTTACTGCAGATTTGAAGTTTAAATAGGGCTACTCTTATTGAAAATGCAGACTATAGATTTAACTATTGAGTGATATTTCTCCTTGCAATTACTCTCTCTCTCTCTCTCTTCTTTGGCTCTCCCATTCTGCATCAAATGTAAGAATATTGCTCCAGAAGATAACTGTTCTGTACAGTTCATTAATATCTAAGCTATAGATCATGAAGATTTTTGCAACTAGACCCTAAATTTTGGCAATTTTCTAAGCTCACTGAACGTGACAGTTTCTATGCTTTTTTAAATAGCAGGTTATCTTGGCTTAACCTTATGTACTATTGTCACATAAAGAAAATGTACTATTGTCATAGAAAGAAAAATGTGTATAGTAGATATTAAACAAATTCGACATGAAATTCTTAGATTTTTTCCTCTCATTTTTCTGACTCTTTACACAAGTGTTTTAATAATGAAAATTTTCTCCGGTTTTATTTTTCAAAAATTACAAAATGAGGCTTTCGTGTCCTTGATGTGTTGAAGACGTTCCTCGAGGCATCCACATGGTGTGTCCAACAAATGCTCGAGGCATGCTGGGAATTGTACCTTGGGTGCTGAAAATTTAAAGAAGTATACAAAATGTATGGCATGCCATGTGGCTGGTTGGACGTGTCTAGGAGCGTCCAAGGAGTGTCGTCGTTGGATAGGGGTAATCCTTAGGAGTGTCCGTGCTTGTGATGTCACACATGGTCTCTCATCTCTTTCTAAGATATGCTTTGTAGGTATTGCAGTGTTGACTATTATCATGTCTATATCTCTCTCTCCTCTTAGCTCATGATGTAATTTCATTCGAGTTACCAATATAGACAACTGGCATAGAAAAAACATTATCCTAAATGTTTGCTTAATTGATTATTGTTATCCTTGTGGCATTCTTCTTACGAGTTTTGTCCACAAGGAAATATCTAAATATTACAAACATGAAATATTTTCCCCCTCCCCTTCCCCCTCCCATGGGTGCTTGAGAGAGGGAGGAAATTTCAGATTAAGTACTTATTTTTGTTCGTGGATGCATGAATCACTATTGGTACAGATGTTTGGACATGAAGCAGCAAAATTATTGGACTATGTTGAGTGCTTCCCTGATGGAGTAAGAGAAGGAACTAAAATTGCCGAGGCTTGTACAGAAGTTAAAATTGAAGGATTCCCAACATGGGTGATAAATGGTCAGGTATGCAAGCTCTTCATGGCAGTCTGAAATCTCTCTCTCTTCTTATAATAAGTGATCATGGAGTTCACATTATAGAAAGTTATTGTTTTTTCAAGATTTCTCTCTCTCTCTCTCTACAATTTAGCCTTCGAAGATCATACTTTATCTTAAAACTGCTCTATGACTACTAGCATAATTTGGTTACTGGTGATTCTATAAATGCTCTTTCGGCTTTCGCCCATGTTTTGACAAGAATTGAGCATGTTTAGAAAAGCTTAAAAATAAGTAAAAAGTGTTACTTTTATGTAACCTTCTGTGTCCACGCATGTTTGAGTAAGTTACTTCTTTTACATTTTTTTCTTATATTTCTTATTTTCATCACGACAACAACAATAAGCTAACCCCTTTTTCCCAATTAATTTGGGATCGGCTATACGAATCCTTCTTCGCCATTTCAACATGCTTGTCTAGAGACTAGATCTTTAGCAATTACAGCAGAACATTCTAATTTTGATGGATAAAAAAATTGATTATTTTAAAACTTGTTTATTAAAAGTAATCTTTTTAAGCTTAGCCGATCATGATTTGTGCAGCCTTGCTCTTTGTTACTTGCACATTAAGATGCGTCATTGTACTTGGCAAAGAAAGGTGCTTGACATGGCTTGTACGCAGTAATAAGTTTATATACTGCACCATTTTGTGACGATTGATTTGCTTGAATTGAACTTGTTGCAGGTTTTGAGTGGAGAGAAGGGCTTCTCTGAACTCGCTCAATTATCTGGAATCAATCTCGAAGATTTAAGTCAATCGAAGTAAGATGGCGTTTTTCACACTTGTATACAGGCATACAGCTTTGTTCCGTGTTTTAAAGCTGATGATCATATTCATAAGAGATTTTGGCAGTTGTAATATTCTCAATTGACCTCGTAGGAAGGTTTTGGGGGGGGGGGGGGGGGGGTTTTTTTTTTTTTTTTTTTTTTTTTGGCAGTTGTAATATTCTCAATTGACCTCGTAGGAAGGTTTTGGGGGGTTTTCATTGTACTTGTCTTTCATTTAAAATGGGAATCCCGTCGAGCTCGGTCGGCGGAATGAAATCGATGCTTGGTTGATTAGGATACAACTAAATCTAAACTTGTTTTGAATAGAGTGAGACCATATGTTTAAATGAATTGGAATATATCTAGTCTCTTTATGTCTCGTTTAATATGTTAGACTGGATGAGACTTGACTTTTTTTTAAGATTTCTTCATTGACGTCGTACTACTTTTCATTGTCGTGTTACGACTTTTACACTGGCGAATTGTTGCTGGTGCATCCACTTCTTGTAGTCTTGAACTTGAAATATGATTGGTTATCGTTCACACTTATAATTCAGGTGTGGACGCCAAGCCCTTGTTTGGCCCATTTTGTAAAATTCATTTTTTCTTAAATTCATTTTTAATCATGCATTCCTCACAAAAATAATTTTACATGCTGATGCATAATATTTTTCTACCTTATAACCACGCGTTCTTAAAAAATAAATACTCAAAAATCTCTAGCAAACATAGGCTAAGTTTATCAATGAGTATTTTTGTCTAGGAAGGTACACTTCTCTTCAAGCTAAAGGAGCAACTTTTGTTTATGTATATATGGACCAAATACTACACTATCAAGCAGACATGGTCTTACTTTGCCTTAGTTCGGTGGGTATTAAAATCAAATTTTTAATGTAATATATGATTGAAAAGTTGTGAATCTTATAAAACTTAATTCCTACCAAACTAGGTTACCCTACCAATCAAGGAATATACAGAATGATTAGTTTTAGATTAATGCTTATCTAGCATCAATGATACTAAAGTACCAGTCTATATGATAATATTTGTTATGTTTAATTAAAGGTGAAATTTTGTGATTGATTTAATTGAACATGTAATTTAAAGTCATTAGTGCTGTCACTTAGATTGATGTTAAATGCTAATGATGTCAAAGAAGCATTAAATCAACGATAAATCGAGCTCTTAGAGATTTATCAAAACTTTGTTAGTACTAGGGGTGGGCGCGGATCGGTTCGGTTCTAAAGAGAACCGAACCGAACCAAACTTTTCGAGTATTTAGTAAATGGAACCGTCGGGTCCAAATATAATTATGGAACCGTTCGAGGTTGGTTCCGTTCGGTTCTGTACTATAATTAAAATTTTTAACGTTTATAACAACATTATATAAATACAACTATTGATACATTCAATGATTTTTGAATGTCAGAGACTAGTAAACTAACTTGTTCAAATGAGCGCTACGATCAAAGCATTGATTGACGGAGGTCACAGTGTCAGTCGACTATTGTATAGGTTTTGGAACATTAACAAGGCTGCGAAAGTGAGTGCGAGAGTCGAGACAACGTTATGCACTTTAGTGTAGGTGTTTAGGGTTATTTGTAGATTTGATCTTGTTTGGCTAAGAAATGAAACAATAAATTGGGTAATTGGGCCAAAAATTAAAAAATTAGAAATGAAACAAATTATTAGGCCAAAAATTTGGATTTAGAATTTGTTAATTTGTTTAGAAAAAGTTAAAATTAAAATAATTTGATTTACTAAATATAAAAAAAAATTAGAAAGATTCGGTTCTTATTCGATTTTTCGGTTCTTGGTCTAGAACCGAGAACCGAACCGTACCCGTCGGTTCTCAATTTAGATATCCGTTCGGGTATTTAATTTGACAAGAACCGTTGGGTTCGGTTCGATTTGGCTCGAGTTCGGTTCGACAAATTTGCCCAACCCTAGTTAGTACAATCAAATTTGATGATTATGTCACAACTTTCATTGTTGCTATTTCACCCTTTGAGATAACAGAAACAGAATCTGAGCTTATAAGCTAAATGTCATTTATTAGATGATACTGAAAGCATCTCTAAGAGATTTTGTATTTTTTAAAGATCATATTTTATCATTTAGAAAGCTTCTATAAATTTAGAGATTTAAAATTTTAAAGTACTCAATAAGCTTTTTATGTTTAACTTTTAATTTTACTACTCCTATAAAATATTTATTATTTTTCTCTATCTTTTATTTTAACTGGCTTTCCTTTAGATTATTTTAATATTTTTTTATATTGAAAATTGAAACACTTTGAATACATTTAATTATAGAGAATGTGTTACTTTCTAAATTAAAATGTTAATTTAAAGAGTTTCTTGAAACATGATTTCAAAGAGTTTATTTGAGATGTTTTAATGATATTGAAATAAATAATGTACCGGTAAAAATGTTCTTGGTTTTGCTTCATATTAGATTCTCTCAATCATGGTAAATGATATACGTCTTTTATTTGTTCCATTAGAATTCAAATCGACCAACTTTTTACAAGAGTTGTCAAACTGACCCAAGTTTGATAAATTTGCTTTTCACTTTCGAATTTGATATCTTAGCAATTTGTTATTACTCGACTTAGTCAGCATAGGGAAAGGGAAGAGGTCGTTCTTTCTTTTCTTCTTCTAGCAAGAAATTGGATGATAGTCACAAGCGTCTCGAACCAAAGAAAATTAATGCTTCAAGGCTGAGGGTAATCACTTTTAAGCATGGGTTAATGACCTTGTCCCAGCCTTTTTTTTTTATTATTTATTATAAAAGACCAAATTTACAAATAATTAAAGCATAGGTTAGTGACTTTCAGAGTCTTTTATTATTATTATTATTGTTATTATTATTATAAGAGATCAAATCATACTGTTGATGACAAATAATTAACTTATTCAATCAACCAATTAGTCCACCAGCGACTCGTTGAATTTACACCTAACCGGTCTTGTAGGACCGCTACCCCCATCGCATTGCACATGCACTGCAGAAATCCGGCTCCAGACAATTTTTCAATCTCTCTGTATCTGTCCCTAGTTTCGCAGGGTTTCAACTCTCCTTGAATCCTGCTGTATATCGGAAAGAAGTGAAAAATTGAAGTTGTTTTTATATTTATACATCATAATCAGGTTGTGATTACAATTGTATTGAGTGATGAATTTGTGAGAAAATAATGGGTGTATTCTGCGGTGGCTTCCTCCGTGACACATGGGCTCGTGCCACTGATCGTTGCTTCCGCTTTTTTCCGTGCCTTTCTGATTCGGGTAATGTTTACTTGTTTGTGTTGATGGGTTCTTATATTTATGATAAGGTAAGCTGCAGTTTCATTTTTATTGATATTTCTTCTGTAAATCTATTACAGATCGGAGATCTACTTTATTTTTGAAGGTGGCTTTGGTGACGCTCCATCTGATTTTTCCCGGGGTTTTATTTGCTTTTGATAAGGATTTGATTGACAGAACCAGAGAAGACCCATGGTATTGTTTTTAGTTATTCTCTCTAAATTGATGTGTATTAATGTGGGTTTTAATTTTTTTTTATCGATTGCATTTAGTTAATGATTTCAAATCTGATACCATTAGTAGAAGGTTTTTACATTGGCAACGGTAAAGACAGCCTTTTTTATATTTGAAATTGATGGGAGAACACGGCAACTACAAATATCCGACACCTTTTTTGAGACTGCAATGGAATGAATAAATCTCTGTGTATGAATATAGCAACTGCACAATAATATATCAAACCTAATATAAAAAGTTTTGTCTTTCTCAGCCAACGGAAAAAACAATGGGGCCGTAGACCCAAATTCTCCATAATATTAACCATGGGCAGGCTCAAAAAAAACATCAAGAATACAATATCTTCGCACACCACCAATATCTCATTATCTAACAGAGATGGTAACAAAAATAAACTAAAATCAGATATAGCTATGTCTCACCATTTGAGAGCCAATAATGGAAAACCAAACCAGTATATGTATGAAGCACCTTAATACGAATTGCGACCTGAAATCTGAGCCAAAATGAACAAGGTTTCTCAACTAAATCGTTTAGTACTGGCAACCTACCAATTTTTACTCTTGTTGTGTTTATTTTCATTTTTGAATTCAAATAATGCTTATTTTAGTACTCTTCGATTTTTGTGCTAATTTTGTTCATTCGAAATTCATTCCAAATTTGAAACAAGAAAGGTCATTGTTTAAACATGCCAATTTACACACTAGCTTTCATGTCTGGGGAAATGCCATTATCTTTATTTTGTTTTTGCCCACATTATCCCAACAAATCTCCCCTCCACCTCATGTAGTGGAAGAAATTGCCATCCTGGCAATGGAACGACGAACATCAAGTTTTTCCACTGGAAAAACCTTTGTCATTATGTTAGAGCCATGATGATTGTCTGGTCTTCATTAGTGGTCAAAAAAAAACATTTAAAATAATGGCATTTTGTTCTTTATACAAAACTTGAGGTGTTTCTTTGCAATTTAGGGAATAATGTTTCAGGATCAATCCTCTCTTCTCCTCTTCACTTTCGAGTAGTGAACATTTTGAAAGGATCTAAAATTAGCCAAAAACAAAGATTAGAAGAGGGAGGTGCATTTTCAGTGTACAAAGCAAAAAATAGAATGGAGAAGAGGAAGAAAAACAGTGGGTTAGCGTTTGTTAAATGATTCAGTGGCCAAACATTGACCATTTTGGCCCAAATTTGTTGTAATGATTCCTAGCAAGGTGCTTTTAACATCTACTGTTTTAGTTTTTAATATTGTCTCTCATTTTATGAGATATAGCCCTTGATCAATGTTATGAAAATCGTCCTGGCCAGTTCGACTGAAAAAATCGAGAATCGGTCGACGATCGGTTCTGTTGCAGCCTGGTAACTCAAAGCCAGTAAAATTCTGGTAAAATGATCGGTTCGACAGGAACCAATGAAACGAACATGGTTTTATCGAGTTTTTTGACAAGCTTACCAACAGGGGGGGAAAAGGAAACCAGCATAGAAAAAGGTCCGGCAATGATGTTTATCTAACGTGCCCAAGTCACGTGAAAGACCATTGATTAATTCATACGCGCATATATTGCAGAAGAAGCTGCAGGGTAAAATGAGAACAAAGAAGCAACATAGTTGTCTCCAATTTTTCTTCTGGAGTTTTGACTACTTTCTTCATTTTCTCAATGTTCCGGTCGGTTTTCAAAATACTGCTTTTGATAGCTGTTGTCTTGAGATTTCGTCTTTCTTAGATGATGAGATATTGTTGGTGAGCCATGATATTGTATTCTTGGAGCTTTAGTATTGACTTGAGACAACATTGTTTTTCCATTTTTGATAAAGAAGAGATTTTGGGGATACTACAGTCCTGTATATTTTTACCCCTTTGATGGAGGTTTAAGAAAGAGTTTTCCATGTTAAACAAATCTTGTGTTGACTGAGTTTCTATTATTGTGCATGTACTCTATTAATAGGCACACATTAGGTTTACATGAGAGGGAAATTACTTCTTTTTGTTGCATTGTTAGTATGTTGATATTTGTGGTTGTCTTCTCTGTCAGGAAATGGGTTTTAATGGGAACTTTTTATGTGTCTATTTGTGTTGTTGAATTCTGTATGCAACTTATAAGAATAAGTTTGAAAATAATTATGCATTGCCAAAAAAATAAAAAATGACCTGGCATAGAAGCAAACAAGGATATCGAGACTTTTTCTTGCTTTCACCCTAAAGGTTTACTCCATGTCTTTCCCATCTAGATAGTCCAAAAGAGTATTTGCTTATGATTTTGTTAGTGTATCCTTGCAATAGAAATGAAAATGAAAGTTTATCGTTGAGATCAATTTATCTGCACGAACAACAGTTTTAAAACGCAACACAACTCTTCGAAGTGACTTATCCTATGCAGTAGTTATCTACCTACTTGTTTGAAGTGTCTGGTTGTATAAGAACTTGATTCCATATTAGAGCAGTCAAATAACCATGTTTGGCTACCGTTGATAATAAGTTTATTATCAGTCAAATCTCTTTTTATCCATATATTTCGTGGCACTCACAAGTACTATCCACTTATCCACCACTCAATTCTATCTATTTATAATTTAAACCGTTTATAAACCACTCCCAAGCATGCTTTGGTTTCTATGTGTTACATGAGAATCATCTTACAGAAAGCTCAATAAATTGAGATAGACGTGACAAGCATGAGAATTAAAAATGTTTAAATGCTTGCCAGTTTGGGGTGATTTTATAATTATTTCATTTCCTTGCCAGTACTCACAATGATAATGTGTCTTCCATTTTCCCAACACAGGTACACTGCAATATATTTGTTATTGTTCATTGCTACGCTGGCTCAGTATTTCATCACCTCTGGAACGTCTCCTGGGTAAATAACATTATGAGCTACTCTTACTGCTAAAAGATTTACTTTACATCTTGTGCTGATGGGAAGATATTTAATGTGCCCGTATTGCTGAAGCTTCCATTTCGTTTCAAACATGTAGCTATGTACTTGATGCGCAGAAGGCTGTTGATGAGAGAGATGCTTTAGTTAGAAGGACATCATTGGATTCGAAGTATGAGCACTTTCTGACTCTTTACCTTCAATAATTGAGAATAAGAAATATAGCTACCTAATTTGATTGTGCCAAAATCATTAGATGGTATCCACCCTATTTCTTAAATATGGTATTGTCTAACTGCTATGTTTTTTGTTGTATATTTTATGTTAAAATGTTCAAGCAAAGACAACCAGCTTCAAGCAAGAATGGCAGTGTTGTTATCACAGTGGACCAGAACCAATCAGGCAGGAATTATCAGAGAAGTAATGTAACAGCTTGGACAAAGCTAGTGATGGATTTGTACCCTCCAGGATCATCTATTAGGTAACTTGTTTTAACAAATGGGCTTTAATAATGCTACAGTATGGAAACTTCTTGGGCTAATGAGGTAGGTAAATTGAAGTGCCATCATTGCTGGGACAATGAAGATATATCATATATTTTTCTGATCTTTAAAATTCCGTGTACATATTATTAACAGAGAATAAAAGGTTCTTCTGAGACGTAAGAAGAAATTTTTTTATGCATTCTATGTGGGTAGAATTTCAAGCATTAGGGACTTGGGGGATTTGTTATATGAACTATGTATTGCAATCCACAACTCAAGCATCTGTGCTAATTAATTTTTCTTTGTAGTAAGATATATTTTTCTTTTCGTTTTCTTGTTCTTATTCTTGAAATTTTCATATTGGATATTACACTAAGAAGCACAAATGCAGGACACAAACATGAAGTGGGCACGCTGATACTGGATTTTTCAAATAAGTATGGCAAGTACATGTTGGGACACGTCAATTTAAATTCTTTAGAAGTGTACATGTTTATATTAATTCTTTATTTTTTTAATAAAATGAATACTTTTTAATTTTTGATTTTGTTTGTGAAATCTTTTAAAATTAGATGATTAACTATCTTTTAATAAATATGATACCACTTTGCTTGTCGGACATGTCTTGGCATGTGTGTTGGACACGGAGATAGAGCACTAGTACGAATCTCCTTACTTGGCTACGTGATATTAACATATAATAAAATATTCTTTATTAATTTCAAGACAAAGTAGGAAATTTTTGTGCATCCTATGTGGGTGGAATTTCAATTTACCATGAGGGACAGATGGTTTTTTCAGTTGCTCAATGGTTCTTGTTTCATTTTATGTTCTTATATTTTACCAATGTTTAAAAGGATATATCGGATACCGAGGTGTTTTACCCTGATGCAAGGCACAAGTCTCAACACAAATTAATAAATAATTCAAAGTAACATAAAAAAATGAAAAATATGCTCATAATAAACCATATACAATTTTGAAAAATTTATAATAAAACAAATTAGCAAAATTAAAAATCTAACTAGCTTGCATCACAAATATATATAAAATAGTCCAAAAAAGTAGCAAATATAAGTTCTCAAATTAGTAATCATTTTACAAAGTTATAATCTATTATTAGAAATAGAAACAATTCAGGACTCTCTTATATCGTCAATACTACCGGGATCTTTTAGACAACGGTCAACATATTTCATTTCCATATCATTCTCATCCCTAGATTCTTCTCATTTTTTCTCATCATCCTCGTCTTTTCCTTCACTTTCCCTTTTGTGTCGAGGAGGAAAATAGAAGATAATAAAACCCGCAAAACATTATCGGTTGTAAATAAATAGCTCAAAATCTGAAGCCAATAATAAAATGTGCAGAATAGGCAAGATAAATGGATGAACTCCTAAGTTGACACGAGGCTTAGGCTTTAGGCGTAAGCTTCACAAATGGCATATGAAGTATAAGCTTTGAGGCGGTTAATGAAAGCTTCAGTTGAGGTGAATGTCAAGGCCTAAGTCTCAAAAGGTTTATAAACAATTCTTTTATCGAAGTGGAGCTCCTTACAGCATAGGTTATCACTTGTGGAAAAAGGTGTAATGTTGGATGTTAATGTGGGTTGAAACATTTATTGATTATAATGGTTCATAGTTGTGAGTTGAATTTATTGGTGAGCTGTGGTCGAACCATACAACATGAAGAATTAGCTACGAGAAGCTTGAAGTGGAATTTATTCATCTTGATGCACAAAGGCAATTGTTATAATTGCAATGAATTACGGAAAAGAAATGTTAATTTTCTTCGAGTTTAAAGAGAAGAGTATTTTTCAACAAGAAACATAAGTTAGAGCATGTTTCACGTTGTAAAATTAATTGGGATAGAGCAAGATCTAGAAGTATTCTTGGGATGGAAAATTATTTTGTCATTGAATTTGTCATTCACTAATTTTCTTCATTATGTTTTATTTTCCAGAAATTGGACGTGCCCTTCCTGCAATGTTGTGCAGGTACGATCTTCTTATGCTTTTGTCATCTTTAATTTACATTCCGTGAAGCAGTAAAAGAAATTATCTAAGAAATCTAAGCCCTTATTTGGTAAAATTTTTAATCTAAGTCAAAATCAACAATTAAGTTCAACCACACATTTTAAGGGACCCACAACTTTTCAACACACATTTCATCACTTTTATCAAAATCTACTAAAATTTGATTTAAACCCTACCAAACAGAAGCTAATATTTATTATTCTATTTATCATTTTTCGGTGCGGTGCATATTGATTCACGAGCAACCGTTTGTCTTTCCAAAATCCTTCTTGGACTAGCTTTTTGAAATTAAGTTTTGTTTAGAGGCTTTAGACTTTTAGTTTAGTATTTTTTTCGGTGACCATTATAGAAATTTTTGGCCATTCAGTTTATGAGTGTTAATTTAAAGAAAAACCCTTGAACTGTTTTTTTCACTCCGTTCACAGTTATTCTTGATAATATTGCTTGCCCTGCAGAAGAAAGAATAATGAGTGAGAAAAAAGCACACCAAGAGCCTTGAGGGTGCTCTGATATCATGATGAAGACTGAATTAATTCTCATTGATTTCCTCATAAGGCCAAAATAAATATGTCTATCTACTTTTAGGAACACATTAGTAAATTTCAACAGCTATTAAAAATGGAAAATGAACAGCAACCTAGCTATATACAGATTTTCACTTTATCGCGAATCTTGATTATAATTGGAAAGTAGTCTAGCTGTTTTCCAAGCAGATAGAATCAAAGAATTGCTAAAATAGCAAACTAAAAACGTCTGTATTGTATTTATTAGTGTGACAATCGATAAAAATATATAGCAAAACCAAATAAAAGGGTAAGAATGTCCAAACCCTATCATATCATTCCCTTGTTGCCTGTGGCCCATTATGCGACCTTTCCCCCAACCACAAACATTGCACCACACATCCAGAACCATTAATGCTGGATTAGACCAACCCTTCTTCCCTGTTTATGAGGAAAAATAAACACCCCCTGCTCTACACCATCTCACTCATGAATATAACATGTAAAATTCATGGTATATCCTGAGAAATCCCATTATACTCCCATCTATTCTGCATTTTTTATTATGACTGAACTGTTGGCGAAATTGATATTTTGACGAGCAATTTCTCTGGTTGTGATACATTTGCAGTGATGTAATTTGGTTTTGTGAGAGAGTATATAATTTGTAGTTATTACTTACTGTTGTTGTTTCTATTATGCATTCTTACATATTTATTGCAAGTACATTCCGAAGTTTATAGTTGTTGATCCCAGCTTTCATGCAACTTTTGTAGCCCCCACGAGCAAAGCATTGTCATGATTGTGACAAGTGTGTTCTTCAATTTGATCATCATTGCGTTTGGCTTGGGACATGTGTAGGACAGAGAAACCATTGCCGGTTTTGGTGGGTACACATTCTGTTTCTTATCTAATTAATGATTTTTCTGTAGAGTATGTTTTATGCTATCGCATGATCCTAGGACCTCTACCTGCTTCGATACTATGTTGAATCCTGTCATCTAAAAACTTATGTTGTTGGAGAAAGGACAGGTTCATATTTTGAATTCAATGGCCTAGGTTTCAATTGTCGTTGTGACATTTCCACTTCATGCCTAGAAATTTCCATGAGTTACTTGCTAAGGTCTGAGAGTGACAAATCCCTGAATTTTTCCTGGATTCCAAAATATTTTGATTCTTTATTTAATTATCATATGATCCTGCCATTCACTGTTCCTTTCCTTCTTTAAGGAATATAAAATGCAGATTGCAGATCGACAGATCGTGAATCATATTATGTGCACACACATACAGGGCCTGAAAGATAAACACTTCACTTTTGTAAGTGCATGCATCTAGTTCTAGTCTCATACACATTAAAAAAATCCTTGGTATGTACTACTACAGAAAATGCACAAGAGTGTAGGACATGTGACAATAAATTTTATATGCATCTATGTAATCAAACAGAGAATCAAGCTCATCAAGCATACACAAATGAAGTGGGTAAAGTAAATCGTACAAACATAGTATCAGAAATGCGGATATACCTTCATTTGGTCTTTTGTGCAATGAGGAATTTCTAGATGTGTTTGGTTTACTTAGAGCTTGTTTGAGCCCCATTTTTTGCCCAAAATGCATTTTGGAATAGTATTTTGATGGAGAATGTGTGGTTAAAAAATAAGGAAATATTTTTGGTTTGTGTGTAATATTATTTTATTGAAGAATGTGTAGTTAAAAATAAGAGAGAGAAAAATGTATTTAAGTGATATATCTTTAGAAGATAAAGATTCCGTGATCAATTCTTTTTTCTTTGTATATGCCAAGTCTTCCTGAGTCACAAATTTGTTACATTCGAACAGATGGCGTCATACAATTCATAAAAATATTAGCAATCAAAGGAGTAATGAGATTCTGGTCTTAAAGAATTGTTGGTTAGAAAAAAAATGAAAACCTGACAAACGTAACTCAAAGTCCACA